AGCTAAATCCCCAAAACCAAAATCGCCGGCTCCACCCTTTCCATCTCACATCATCAAAACCCCATCTCCACTCCTTCAAACCTTGTTTTCGCCGCCGAAACCTTCATCTGAACCTTTCTTCTTCCACCGTCTTCCTCACTTAATTTCCTTGAGCAATCTGCAGGGGAAAGAGAAGAAATCTCTCTCTCACATTCATCCAAAAAAATATTCAGTAATCCTCTCTTCTCAAAACAACCTTTCAGGGATTCCCATTTCAAACCCTTCCCCCATTTCTCTTCCCTCTCGCCGTCCCTCTTCGTCGCACATACCGCGACCACCATATTCACCCTCCTTTCCCTTTTATACTCCCTTTGATATTTCTCTTCCGACCACCCTTGAACCCTTTTGTTTTTGCCGAAAAAAACCTTATCGTCTAAATCCATCATCGCCTTCTTACAACGCACCGAACGAAAGGCATCATTCAACTCAGTTTTGGCGGTCAAAAGCTACGATTGTGAATCTTTGATTCAAGTTCTCAGTCCGACTTGGTTTTAGTCACGACGTCGCTAGACTCTACCACAAGTAGTGGCCGCACTTCGCACAAGTTAACAGCAACGATTGTATGGTCGCTCACAACACGATTCAACTTTGCAACAACAACTAGTTTCTAGATTCCAACTTGCAACCAAAACTGCAGCGCTTAAACTCTCGGCGACAACTTGTTCACATAGCGGTTGGTAATTTCAATTCAGGCTTCGCCATCTTAAGGTGCCCTATTTGAACCATACGGTATTTCGATTCAATATTGTAGGATTGTCGTATCATTCACGATGAGGTTTTCACAAAGCTGAGTTTATATGTTTATGTTTTTTTGTGTGAGTTTTGTTTTGCTTATGCCAATGTGTGGTTTAAATGTCATTTCGAGAATGATATGCTTGCGTTAGATTTATTTATTTATTTATTTTCTGATGCTGAAACATGCCAATTTGATGATGAGTTTTACTGCTTGTGAGTTTCTCAGTTTTAATTATCTTTATCAGTTGCTTATGGCATTCGATTGCATCGGTTTCGGTCCCATTGAATCTCGTTTCAGTTTTGGAAATTATTTTGTGTGGTTTCTGTTTGCACTTTGTTGTAGTTCGGTTTCGAGTTATGGATGATTTCTATTCTTACTGAATTTGATGGGTTGTTTTACTTTGTGTAAGTATTCGTCTTTTTGTTCTTGGATTAAACTAGTCTGAGCAAGAAAATATGTTTAGATTGATGTAGTGTAAGCTAGCTACATTTCAGTTTTGGTTGAATTCGTAAGCTGCAGTGACTATGAAATTTTGTTGGAATTAAATTCAAAATAGAAGGTGTTGATGTACCTGAACTGATGTAGTGCATTTTGGTTACTAGTAGAGTTTTTCAATGCATTTTGGAATAGGTGTTTTGGTCCTTGTCATAGTAATTTCTGCTGCCATTTTTTCTTTCATTATTGCGTAAAGTTATAAGTCTGCAGCATGAATTATGTTTTGATTAATGTTATTAGTATCTTTATGTGTATGCCATGAAAAGTGGTGATGCTAAGGCCATGATAAATATGAGTGAGATTGTATGCTATATGTGTGAGACTATGTGCTAAAGTCATGTCTTGGATATGCAACAGAGTTTTTCACGGTAATATGATTTTAGGCTGCAGACCCTCTTGGCTCAATTGTTTTTTTATTTTATTTTTATTTTTTTACAAGTTACACTTTTTATTTTGGTAATTAGAATACAATGTGAACATAATAATAAGTCACTGTGATCTAAGGATGAAAGTTTTATTTGAGGTTTAGTTATGATTTTTTTACTGTTTTTTAATTACAACTCTTATTTCATTATAGGATAATTAGCATACTACATGAGTAACTTTGTTAATTTTGTGATTAATAATTATCTTGGTTACATTTAAAAAAAAAACATTTTTGGGTTTGTTGCTATTATGATAACTTGTACCTATGGTTTTGACAAAATTTATGTCAATTAAACCGTAAACTTCCATATATCAATCGGTATTTTCTCCACATGTTGATAATTGCGTATAACATTTCCTTCGTATTGTTATTACGTACAAATCAGCTTTGAATATATTTCAAGTCGGTTTTCTTTGTAAATTTCAATACTTATTTCTAATTAAAACCACTTTTTTTATTACTGGGTTAAACAATTATTTATTAATTAGTTTGGTTCTTTATATAATTTCAAATATTTTTCTAACTAAAAATAAATTTTCAAAGTATTGTTAATTAGTTTATTTTTCAAGAAAAATGCTAGATTATTTCAAAAACTTTTATTGACAAAATATGAGTAAACTAAGATTCTTTAATTACGCATAAAAGCAATTAAACTCTTGAAGTCTAACACTTCTTGAGTTTTTGAATGATCATTATTGGGGCGTACGCCTTAGGTAGTGCATCATTCGACTTTTCGTTTTCAAATACATTTTTTTAAATATTTGAACAAAGAAATATCATCGGAGTCTAGCATCTTGGGTGATATTTTCATTGTCCATTCAAACTTTTTTCGTAATTTAATTAAATGAAAAAGGTGTCGTTAGGATCTAGCATCCAAATGACACCCCGATGAATTGGTTGTGAGGCCGACGTCTCATTTATCAAAAAATCGTCATTTCTCCTAATTTTCAAATCCAATTTGTTTTCTCTCCCACATGCACAACTCTTTTCATACCCTCATTTCGATTCAAATTATTTCAAAACCATTTTCTCGATTAAACTTCGAAAGAAGGAGGTTCTTGGAATCTAGCATTCCTTGAATCTTTGAATGAGTAACTCTCGAGGCATGCCCTTGGGTTGTTATTTATTCAACCTTTCGACTTTTTCAAACGTTCTCGTAAGTCGAGTGCTCGTACGCATTCGCAACCGTCGACATTTTGCACACACTTCACAATTCCTCGTGGTTTCGATATTAGGGGCACCCTTAGGGACTAATATCGTTTCTCACCATATAACCCTTGACACGTCGTCAAGTCGGTTCTATCTTCTAATCAATTCCTCGACTCGTCGTCGAACCCTTTCTTCAAACCAACCATTTGTTGCCTCGCATTTCGTTTTTGTTTCAATCTTTCTACAAATATTTTTTTTAAACTTACGAAAGAGGGATATTCTTAGAATCTAGCATTCTTTGAATATTCGAATGAGTAACTCTCGAGGCGCGCCCTTGAGTTGTTATTAGTTCATTCTTTCGATTTCAAAACATCCAACTCTTTATCTTCAACTTATTCAGTCAATTTCCGAAAGAACTGAGTTCTTGGAATCTCGCAGTCCTTGAATTCTTGAGTGACAAGCTCTTGAGGCACGCTCTTGGGTTGCTTGTCAGTCACTCTTTCGTTCCTCAACCTCCCCTTCATCTCTCAGTTAACCTCGTCTATTCGTGGTTGTTACCACGAACTACGACTGCTCTGATTCTTCATTCTCGTCTGAATGTAAGATACGTAGGCATAAGATCGCGATGATCTTGGCGAGCTACCCCCCCTCCATTTTCCATTTCCCCGTATCCATTTCGTGGTTGTTACCACGAACTACGACTTCTCTGATTCTTTATTCATTCTTGAATACAAGATACGTAGGCACAAGATTGCGATGATCTTGGCGAGCACACTTCTATCCATCTCCTGTTTCCCCCCATTCTTTCCCGTAGTCGAACTACGGTGCTCTGATTTCTCATTCTCGTCCGAATGAGAATACGTAGGCACAAGGGCCCTAATCCTTGGCGAGCACCCTATTCTCTAACCACCCCTCTCCCCTTAGTGTCTTAACCTTTTATCCTACCAATTCTACCTTTATCATCGAGAAGAAAAACAAGTAAACCTAAACACTCCAAAAATACCTTAAGAGGTTCCCGTCGAGTATGAAGGACGTGAGGGGTGCTAATACCTTCCCCTCGCGTAACCGACTCCCGAACCCGGAACATGGTTGCGACAGCCCTGTTCCTATTCTTTCGTTTTTAAGAGTTTTTCTCGATATTTTCCTCTCCCGTTTATTTGGGAAAAATAAAGTTCGGTGGCGACTCTGTCGAACCGCATTTCCGCGCCTTTCGCGCGAGGGTCGTTTCTCCAAAATGTCTCCGTGATTTTTTGAGGTGCGACAGCTGGCGACTCTGCTGGGGACTTGCTCCATGCAAAGATAGAGTCAAGCCTATCTTTTGGTTTGTGAGGAGTGTTTATTTTTATTTGTTTTTCTTCTCGTTTATGTATTTGTTCTCTTATCGCTTGTATATTTTATGCTTGTTATCTTGTTTGCCTGTTGGTTCTTGGGATGACATCATGAGTAAAGCTCTACGCCCAAGCTTTGGTAAAAGCAGAGAGAACACATAGTTTAGAATTGGTAGTCGAGTAGTGTTAGTCTCCGAGGACTTGCTCCTTGTGGGCCTAGCATGAAAGCTCCTCCAGAGGAGACCTATTCGTGGATCTTGTTGTAACACAGCTAGCCTGTTGCACGACTTGATTAATGAAGGCTCCATGATTCTGGGAACCCTTTTTAGCACCAGTTACAATATTGGTGGTCGTGCAGTGTTAGTCTTCGAGGACTTGCTCCTTGTGGGCCTAGCATGAGGACTTCGCTCAGGAGAGACCTTATCGTCATTATCGTCGTAATACAACCAGCCTGTTGCGTGACGCTAATACGACTAGTGTCCGTGATCCTGAGAACCAAACATAGTAACTATCTCGTAAGTGGGTTTATGGGTAGAATGTTTAGATCTTCCCGCATAGGTTGTACCTGTCAGTTTCTTTGATAAGAAATTATGGTTACTTATCCGTTACATTTACCAGCTTCAAGAATTGTTTGATTGTGATCCTGTGATCCTGGATCTTGTATCTTGCATTGCATCTTGCATATCATTCGCATTGCATTTCATATGTTGTGCATTTTGCATTTTCAATCCCTCGGTAGAATCTCATGTCTCCGTTCCTTCCTCTCCAGTAAATCAAGCTGATTCCTCAACACCAGTACGCAAATAGAGCCAATACAAGACGAATGATGGAGCAGATTCAGCAGGAGCAAGCTGCCTTCAAAGAAGAGTTGGACTCCATCAAAGGAAAGATTGACCAGATCCTCGAAGCCATCCTCACGGCCAGAAGAGAGGAAGAACAGTGTGAAGCCGCTGCTGTCGTCAACAACAATGGTCAAGGACAAGGGTCTACTGCCATCCCTTTGGTTCCAATTCCAAATCCTCATGGGATGCCGTTGAACTTCAATAACGCAGCCCAAGGAAACACTTCTCAGCCAATCCCAGCGCCTGGAGTTACTGTTGGAGCTATCCCGCAGGCTCAGCCTACTGTCGTGCAGATCCAAGCTCCCCATACTGAAGATACTCTGATGGATCATTACGACGACGTTCAGAACTATCATGCTGCTATCCCCATTTCCAGTCCTGTTGCCGCTCAGGATTCAGAAGCTATGAAGATGTGTCGAGACCTAGCTGAGAAGTTTCGAGTTATGGAGGGGAACAATTCAAACCCTCTCAGTACCTTAGAAATGTGCTTGGTGTCTGATGTCGTCATCCCTCCCATGTTCAAGGTACCCAAATTTTCGAAGTACAAAGGTCTCAGTTTCCCAAATATTCATCTAAAGATGTACTGTCGCAAGATGGCTTCCTATGCCAGAGATGAAAAGCTTATGATTCATTGCTTCCAAGACAGTTTGTCTGGGGCATCACTCGAATGGTATATGCAGTTGGAACGTAATAGTGTGCGCACTTGGGCTGAGCTAGCCGATGCATTTGTCAAGCAGTACAAATACAACACTGATCTTGCTCCGAATCGTACTCAACTTCAGAGTATGACTCAGAAGGACAGCGAATCCTTCAAGGAGTACGCGCAATGATGGAGAGAGCTAGCCGCAAGGGTGCATCCACCTCTGGTTGACCGTGAACTGATCGACATCTTTATGGGTACATTGCAAGGCCAATACTACGAAGAGCTGATCGGTAGTGTCTCCGCTGGATTCTCTGACTTGGTGATCGTTGGTGAGAGAATTGAAGAAGGGCTGAAGAGTGGAAAGATCCCGGCAGGTTCTAATAGCCAAGCCAATGCCAAAAAGCCTTTCAACGGATACAAGAAGAAAGAGGGCGAAACAAATGCCATCTCTTTGCAGAAAGGGCAAGCTTCTCAACAAGCTCCCGCTCCTATGCCTTATCAAGTTCCCTATTATCAGTATCCGTATGTTGCTGCTGCGCAATATGCTCCAATGCCTTATCAGCCAGCTGTTCAAGCAGTGCAAGCTCAGATGCCACAACAACAGGCTCCTCAACAACAGGCCTACAATCAGCAAGGATATCAGTATCCTCCTCAGCAACAGCAGATGCAAGCTGCTCAATGTCGCACCTCGAAAAATCACGGAGACATTTCGGAGAAACGACCCTCGCGTGAAAGGCGCGGAAATGCGGTTCGACAGAGTCGCCACCGAACTTTATTTTTCCCGAACAAACAGGGAGAGGAAAATATCGAGAAAACCTCTTGAAAACGAAAGGATAGGAACAGGGCTGTCGCAACCATGTTCCGGGTTCGGGAGTCGGTTACGTGAGGGGAAGGTATTAGCACCCCTCACGTTCGTCGTACTCGACGGGAACCTCTTAAGGTAATTGTGGGGAGTGTTGTTTAGGTTTACCTGTTTTCTTCTCGCTGTTAAAGGTAGGATTGGTAGGTAAAAGGTTTAAAGACGCAAAGGAGAAATGGATGGTTAGTGAATAGGTTGCTCGCCAAGCATTGGGGCCCTTGTGCCTACGTATGCTCATTCGGACGAGAATGAGAAATCAGAGCGTCGTAGTTCAACTACGGGAAAAGGATGGGGGAAAACGGAAGATGGATAGAAGTGTGCTCGCCAAGATCATCGCAATCTTGTGCCTACGTATCTTATATTCGAGAATGAATAAAGAATCAGAGCGTCCGTAGTTCGTGGTAACAACCACGAAAAGATGAGGTTTGAAAAGGGTTGAAGTTTGAGTTTGAGACGAAAGGGTGACTGACAAGCAACCCAAGAGCGCGCCTCAAGAGCTTGTCACTCAAGAATTCAAGGAATGCGAGACTCCAAGAACTCAATTCTTTCGGGAATTGACTGAATAAATTGAAGGTAAAGAGTTGGATGTTTTTGAAATCGAAAGAATGAATTAATAACAACTCAAGGGCGTGCCTCGAGAGTTACTCATTCGAACATTCAAAGAATGCTAGATTCTAAGAATATCTCTCTTTCGTAAGTTTAAAAAAGTGCTTGTGAAAGGATCGAATCGGAAAATGGCACGCGAGGCCAAAAGGAAGTTGTTTTGAAGTAGCTCGACGACGCGTCGAAGATTTGATCGAAGATGGAACCGACTTGACGACGTGTCAAGTGTTAAGGTTGTGAGAAATGATATTAGTCCCTGAGGGTGCTCCTAATATCGAGATCACGAGGAATTGTGAATGAAATGTGGGTTGCGAATGCGGACGAGCATTCGACTTAGGAGAATGTTGGAAAATGGTTGAGTTTGAAAAAGTCGAAAGGTTGAGTGGATAACAACTCAAAGGCATGCTTCAAGAATTATTCACTCGAAGACACAAGGAATGCTAGATTCCAAGTGCCTCTTTCTTTCGGGGGTTTTGATCAAAAAGACGTTGAGAATGTGTTTGAGAAAATCAAAAGATTGAATGAACAACAACCCAAGAGCGTGCCTCGAGAATTATTCACTCGAAGATTCAAGAAATGCTAGATTTCAAGAATCTCCCTCTTTTGGAGTTTTAATCTATAAAATATTGCTGAAAGTAATTTGAAATGAAATTAGGAGTATGAAAATGAGTTTACGGCACGAGAGGTGAGAACACGTGATTGAATTCGAAAGGTACAGGAGAAATGACGATTACTTAATAAATGAGACGTCGGCCTCACAATCAACTAATCAGGGTATTATCGAGATGCTAGATCTTGACGATACACTTTTCATACATAAAAAGTTTGAATGAACAACGGGAATATCACACAGAATTGCTGGATTCTTATGATATTTCTTTGTCCAAATTGGAGAATGTTTAAAGAGCAAAGAGTTGAACAATACGTTATTTAAGGTGTACACCCCAATAATATCCATTCGAAAAACTCCAGAAATGCTAGACTTCAAGAGTTTAATTTTTCGTAATTTGGTTTAAAAATAATTTAATATTTAAAGAGGGATTTATTAGTTTTGAGGATGGTTTATCTGAGAAAATAATTTGTATATAAAAAGATATTGGAATGGAAACAGAGAAAGGAAGATGTCAATTTTGAAAACAAAGTACGAAAATAGTCTGAAGTTTTAATTAGAAAATGGTTTAAGATTGTCTCAAAATAACTATCTATTAAATTGAATATAAATTAATTTTGATTTTAAAAAATGATAATTATTGGCATTTAGAAATGTTTAATGAAATTTTATTTGCTCCAAAGTTTTTCTTTAAAATAGAATTGCCTTATTAAATAAAATGCTTAAAAAAGAATGATTTTGATTTATTTTATAAAATACTGTTTTAATAAACAACAAAAGTGTCACGTGGAGTGCTAGACTCAAATGACATTTTCTTGTCTAAATAATTAAAGGTTATGTTTTATAATGAAAAGTCGAATGTTACTACCCAAGGCGTACGCCCCAATAGTAATTATTCAAGAACTTAACAGATGCTGGACCTTAAAAGTTCTTTTTGTTATTGATTAAGAAAATAATTCGATTAAGAAGTTCTTGAAAATATGTTTGAAAAATAGTCCAAGATTTTTAAAAAAAGTATTTTGAATTGTCTTAAAAAAAATAATTACTAAATCAGATAGAAAAGTTAAAAAATAAACTACCAAAATTTGAAATGATATACGTTTGCAATTTAAAGATTAAATATCGGAACTTGACGGAATTCTCATCGGAAACTTGTGACAGAATAAATATGAATTTTCAAGCCCATGAATTCAAATCATCACAATGGAATAGAAATCAAACAAAACTATCATATTGTATACTAATTACCTTATAGTTTAATAGGAAAGCAGTTAAGAGAAAGAGAAATAATGTTCACAGTATAAAAAACTAATGTTCCCATTGTATACCAGTAAAAAAAACAAAGGCAGAAAAATGATTATATATAATTAATTAGCATACATATTAAGAAATATCTATCAAGTTTATATTTACCAAACCAAGTTGTGAGCAAGTTTATTAATATGTTTAAATGACAATATGTGCATACTAGTATAACATACATGAGTTAAACTCTAAATTCCCCACTGTCACTTAAAAAAATGATATAGATATACTAATACCAACATGTACCATTCAAACCCTCAATCTAAAGCCAAATATGTGTTACAGTATATACAAATGCACACCCACATGATTTATAAACGGTAGCAGCAACAATGGGCAGGAAACTGAAATCGAATTTGAACCGAAATAGAATATATTGAATACGTACCCGATTCTTATCAAACATAAATATAAAAAAAAGATGTAAAACAAACAACCAACAACAACTATGTTCACATGAAAAACTGCAGCAAGTTTATTCAATGAATTCAAACCATAAACATAAAAAAATGTAACAGACTAACAGACCGACACCTTCATCCACATCCGCAGCAGCAGCACAAAATCAACATTCAAGTTCATCACAAACACAACATAACTAGCTTGCAGACCAATCATAACTATTAGTAAAACACCGTCTTACAGTATCTATAAACCAAAAATTAGCACAAACGGAAATCACGCCCGCAGTATCCGCAACAAATACGAACATCATATGCAGCAGATCAAAACACAACTAGATACTCAGACAATTGAAAATAATACAAAGGTAATCACAATTTATGATATTATCCAGAGTCGAAAACCGTAACCGTGTCGCAAAGGAAACTAATACAACAAAATTTGGACCAAGAGTCGCATCAGATCCCAAGTCAATTCCATGTACAAATTAAAGCAAACTAACATCAGGTCAATGCATCAACAACAGAACAACAACCTTAATGATAAACTTGGGACCAACTAACAACGGCGCAATATATCAACCAAGAAGCAGTAACATGTTCAAACACAATACTTTTAAATAAAACATAGAAACAATCCGCACAATATTCACAGTATAACTCGTTCATGATGTAATAATGAACACAATCACCATTATTCTACATATACTTGAATCTAAAGGCCATTTATGACATTAATCCAAATTAAATATAACAATGTTACTTTTCATTTTCTGCAACAGGAAACCAACATACATATGGCAGAAAATTCTAACAAGTTGTATCAGTCCAATCCAAACATAAACTATGTACCCCTGCCAAAACGAAACACCTGAAGCTATAATGTACGACCGCAACATTTGGAAATCCTAACAACATCCACAAAATTTATTACTCTAAATTACCATCAAAGTGCAAACAGGTATATGAACACACACTACCCTATCAATAATAGTGTCAGAAGAAAAAACTCGTTCGAACAGAATCGCAATACGACAATACAATAGTTGGGACACGAAACAAATTATAGCAACTCAACTCAACTTAAAGAAAATTAACTTAACAGAAAGCAAACTTCCAATGTTACACAAACAGTATTGAATACTATAGTTTCAAACTCTAATAACAATAATCAACAAATTAACGATCAAATGGAAGCATAGTTGTAATAAAAAACCAACCAAAATAGGATTCAGTCGCGCATCAGCTCATGAATTGTTCGTTGCGTTTGCGGCTCTCCAAAGAGTCAACCAGATGCGCATATCATTGAATCGCCTGGTCTCTGCTTAAGTTGCTGCTACTCGACTCTCCATTGCAGAGTTTAAATGTTGTTAGCTCCGACTCCTTGCGATGGCACGACGTTATTGATG